GTGCGGAAAAAAAAAAAACAGCACTGTTACATTTTATAAAAATATTTGCCACATGTTGTATGCATGGTAGTCATCATCAAATGATTGTTACATATAGGATATTTATATATTATACATACATATAAAATGTAGTACCATGTATACCCTTTTTAGGGCTACATTCCCCTTTTCTTAATATCAATAAACTATGTATCACATAAACAACCCCCGTTATATATACACAAACCATGTACATTGGACACATATAAACAACAGTATAATTTAAGGCGCAATTATATGGTACAAAATATAAATATTAATAAACCCTGTCATAAACATAGTACGAAGTGTTATAAACAGGTAAATATAAGAAATATATATAAGCATACTGTAATAGTGAAGTTGCCTGCCGGAAGTGGCATACACGACGTTACTTATGCTTTCCCCGGTAATTTAAGTTTCCATGGTAGTTTTAGTTTCCCAGGTGCTTTCGGTTTCGTAAGTACGTCTGCTTTATTAGGTACTTCTGATTTTCCACATGATTCCGGTTTCACGAGTACTTCTGGTTCCTCAGGTGCTTGTGCTTTTGCGCGTACTTCCGGTTTCTTTGGCACTTCTGTTTTTCCAGGTACCTCCGTTTTGTTAGATACTTCTGGTTTCTTAGGTGCTTCCGGTTTCTTTGGTATGTCTGGTGTCTTTGGCACTTCTGGTTGCTTAGGTGCATCTGATTTCCCAGATGATTCCGGTTTCACGAGTAGTTCTGGTTTCTTAGATGCTTCCTGCTTCTCAGGACCTCTGTGGTTCCAGGTACCTCCGTTTTGTTAGATACTTCTGGTTTCTTAGGTGTTTCCTGTTTCTGAGGTACATCTGATTTCCCGGGTGTCTCAGGTTTATTAGGTACCTCTAATATCCCAGATGATTCCTTTTTCTCAGGTACCTGCGGTTTCTGAGATTCTCCTGCCTTTTTAGGTGCGTGCTGCTTCCCGGGTGTCTCCGGTTTCTTATTTACTTCTCCTTCGTTTTTTTCCGTTGCTGTGGGACCTTCCTTCTTCTTCTTCCAAATTTTGTCGAGTAAACATTTCCCTGTTTTGGAGCGCAAGAAGCATACTAACACGCAGCAATAGATAATTGGAATCAGTATGGGAACTACAGATATGGCGATGGTACCACCCACAGCGGAGGTTCCTGTCCCAAACAACTCAATCATACTTGATTCTACCAAGGAATGCAGTACTGGATACAAGACTGTGGCGACTACTACAAGCCCCAACCATGCTCTCCTTCCCATTTTACAACGTTTCAATTTCTGACAACATTCCTTCAGCTTGTTCTTCGCTGTTCCAACCTGTGGCTTGCTCTTTATAGTTCGTGGATTCTTTACTCTGATCCTGGGCTTGAATTTTTTGCGCATGTCATCGAACACCGTGGTCGTCGGGCGACCGGTGGCGCGAGAGTCGTAAAAATTACGTTGTCCCCGTTTCCCTACATCCGTTGCATCACTCAACGACACGGTTGTAATTACATCCGTTGTGTCAAATTGGCTTGTGCCATTACCCGAGGATGTGCCTAGTGTACTCGCCTAAAATGTAGAAAAAAAAGGGGGAATATATGCAAATGTTATGGTGGAGGTAGAGAAGGATGTAGAGCGTGCAAATGGTAGGACGGTTTATAGTTGTTAGAAAGGAGTTAATGGTTTATCACAATAAATGTGTGGTAACTGCCCCCAAAATACAGTTGTTATCATACACAGTCAGCAAGTTGCCATAGGCAAAGGACTAGAATAGATATAGAGAGTTTCACAAGCGCCGTCATTGTTTTTTTTTCTTTTCCGTTTAGAAAATGATACAAGTTGCGATATGTTGTTCATATGTATGAATTATAGAATTGTTTTCTCTTCCACATCTAGGTGTACAGATTATGCGTGTAATACTTCTTTTCATCGGCCAATAGTGAACATTGATAAAATCAATTGCGTACGAAATATACTATTCTTACCTAAGTATGTACATATAAATTACATGAAGTATACATATGCATCATAATATAAATAAAGAATAAGAGAAAGTGCATAAGAACCCCGGATAACCCATTCTTGGTACATATTGTACGGCGTAAAAGTTGACTAAAGGGGTCAACATTTTTCACAATTGCAGCACGGGCTGATCAATCATGTCGCCGTTTTAACGGCGTAATGGAAGCAAAGAGCATATGCAAGAGAGCAAAATTCCATATGTGCAACGACATTTTACTGTTTTTAAGTCAGATATAAGGGTGAAGAAAATAATATGCAGAGAATCAATTATAGCCCGTTTTACATATACGAACGGCGAAATTTTTTTTTTTTTTGGTAAGTGTAGAGCCGCGGGCTCAAAGTCACATTGTGTGAGTGTTTTAGGGGGGGTTGTTATTGTCACGTATTTGAATAATTATACATGTATATCGTGGCCGTTTATTATTTATGGGGGTGGTTATTTATATCGTTCTCAGGTTTTATTACGGGTAGTGATAAATAACAAACGCAGCAATATAGTTTCACAACCTTCTTATGCGTGTATACCCGCCTCTGTATATCTGCGTTTTTCAAAAAGTGTGAATGGATTTAATTAAGAGCGTACGGAGCATATATAAATAACGGGTACATGTTCGGTGAAATTGTGGGCTTGGGGCTTAGGGTTTCTGGATTGCCACGTTCCCGGATTGCAAAATTTCAGCATTGCACGCTTTCGGGGATTGTAAGGTTTGATTATTGTAACGTTTCCGCATGGTAAGGTT